TTGTTGGATATGCAACTACAAAAGCTATTAGTCCTAAAAGACAAAACAAAATTTTGCAAGTTAATAGATATCAAAATATTTCATTTTCTGGACAAAAAAATCTAAATGTTGATCTATTTGACACAGCTTTCTCCAATAACTCTATAAAAGTGATGTTGTAACGTGAATAGATTTTAAGAAAATATCTGATATGATTTTGAATTCATATCAAGACGTAATATTATCTTAACCCTTAACTTCGCAATTTTTTAAATTTCTATGAAAAAATTATATCAACTAGTTCTCAAGTAATAATAAAAGGAAAAAAAATGGAAAAAAAATTAAGCAGTTTTAAATTGAATTTCAGTCATTTTTCTGTTTGTTGCAGAAGTGCAACATTCGCAGTAGTGCTGTAAATAACAAAACTTTTTTTATATGAGGATTTTATTATTCATCATAAAATGTTTAAATTTCTTACCTGGTAATTTATTTCGTCAATAAACAAGAGGAAGCATAAAATATAATGGATTCTTTTATAGCAAAAACACAGTTCTTGAGGCATCAGAGATTTTTATAATTGTTGTGATTTCTGGAAAAAGTCTACTTCCATCTAGTGACAAAATTAGCATGTATTTCGTTGCAGTAATCTTTTTTTCTCAGATAAGTGACTTGTAGGTAATTAAAAAAATATTGAGTCTGTTAAATTAAAATATATTATATGTTACAGAAATGCAACTGTGCGAAGTTAAGGGTTAATTGATGATGACAATAAAAACCTCCATCGCATCCTCTGAAACAAAAAGAAAAATCCACAATCGATAAATCGATTGAAAATAACATTTTTTTGTGGAGAAAACTGTGAAATGTTTTGATCTTTAAATCCTTAAGGTAATTTAAGCTTCGTTACGCAATTCTTCCTTTTCACACATTTCATAAATTTACTTTAAGATCTTAAAAAATATATGATTCTTATGATATTATCTGAATACGGTAGACAGATGAAGGACGAATTATACAGTAAAGCACATAAAGGATGAAAAGAAAAATTGGTGGGGGAGGACAAAAAGAATTTTTGCACGTGAACGATAACACGTGGCAATGAATAGAAGATTCTGAAACAAGGGGAAGGGGGAGAATATTGTGAGTCAGGGATCTGATGAGGAGGGTATTCCGCCCATCGTTAATGGAGGACACGGCGTGCCACGCCCTTGCACCACCCCTTCGCCGTCTTTCACGCCACTGGATGAGTCTGCTGTTCGCACAATGCTGGTCTGCATATTCCTACCCATCCCCTCCTGCTTGAATAGTTTTTCTTAAGGGAAGGGGGGAATGGAAATAAATAAATCGCGTTATTAAAATGAGAAAAGAAAGCTTTAAGATTGGAAATGTTTTTAGATGATACAATAAAAATAATTTTTCGTATAATACTTTGTTGTCTCATATTGCAGAAAAAATAAAAGCTGTTCATAAAAAGTTTGGTCTAAAATGTTAATATGTCTTTTTACTTTGCTATTTCTTAAACGATTGATTGTTTTTATTATTGTTGCTTAACGCGATGATCTTTGATGACATCCATCGTAATTTCGAGCCCAAGTGACTGGCATCCCATATTTTTAACTGCTACATCATACCAATATGTTGAGACTGTGAGCCCTAAAAATTTAATATCATTTACTCCATTACACAGAGGCGTGCAGAGGTGCCTCCTTCTGCAAGTCGCCAACAAAAAGGGACATGAACAAAAGTTTTTAACGACTGGCCCGATTAGGGATTTCTTTCGTCTCAGTCGTCTAAGGCATGCACGGCGTAAGTGCAGACCAGTAGGTCGGGGGTTTAAATAAATACCCCTGCCAAGGTCAACAGTTTGTTATCGTAGTGGTGACCCATGAATTGAACACTAGATGGTAGCACAGCCAAACGATACTGGTTAATTATGCATTAATTCCATATATTGTCTTAGACATTCTCAATAAATCATGACTAGTGATTTAAAAACAGTAACAACGCACGCGTCAACTAGATCCACCATCTCAACAAGAGATTGAACGCAACGTCAACGGAAAAACGTTCCACCAGCACTCAAAACCTACTGTAGATGAATGACAATTGCAGTAATTGGCTGCGAAAACAAACTTTTCTCAGTATCGTTTAGAAAGTCAAAAGGAAAAAACAACCTTCTTCTCTAGGAAGGGGGTATGTAGTGGCGCCTCCTTCTACAAGTCGTAAACATCAAAGGACAGGAATAAAAGCCCTTAATGACTTGCCTGAATAGGAGTACCTTTCGTCTCAGTCGTCTAAGGCATGCACGGTGTAGTTGCGGACAGGAAGGTTGGTGGATCAAATAAACACCCCTGCTAAGGTCAACAGCTAGTTGTCGAAGGCGTACATATACTTCTTTTGTGGAAGAAAAGGGGGATATACTATAAAAACACGAAGATGAATGTGCCGAGGTATAATCTTTATGCTAAAAATTAAAAATCAGTTGGTGTACGGGAGGGAATGTTGAACTTCAAACTGCATCCTTGCTTACGTCACTGCCATTACACGAAGAGTCTTAATCAGAAACGCTCGAATGAGTTGAAGAGTTTGTAATTAGGACCCTTAGCAGTGGTGCACACAAGGGGGGTGTCTTAGGGGTCCGGACACTCCCATAGCCCTTGATTTTTTTTCGATTGGTTTATAATCCTATATATATATAGCATTAATTAATAAAATTAATTTTTAATAACAAATACATAATTTTATATTGTTTTTTTTCCTCGAAAATCGACAAAATCAAAAGAATATCTTGGGTGGCGTATTGGAGCATGATACCAAAATGGTGGACTTCCGACCCTGGACCCTCCCCTTGAAAAATTATTGTGTGCGCTACTGTCTCTTAGCTATTATACCTTTCTTTCTTGAGTGGAAATATATAATTGTTCATTTTTACCTCTAGATGTATCTATCTTAATATGTCATAAATTGGATGAAATTTTGCGCAACCTATCGAATTCCTAATTTGTGACTTAATTTGGTAGCGGATACTTTTTACATTAAATCTGAGCAAATGGCTTCATTGGAATGCCAATGATTTTACGCAAATATTAGACATTTCAATATTTTTTATGGTCTACATCAGTGATTTCTAAAGTGGTCTATATCGATCCCCATGAGTCTATGACGACCTGCAAGGGATCTATCTACGTCAGCGAAAAATAATTTGGGGGGTTCTACGATAGTGTAAACCAGATCGTGATTTTAATTTTGGAAATCAGATTTACTTATTGAACAGATTTATTTACTAAATTTAATGAGATTAATTTGCAGTTACAAGGCGTCCACATACATTTTATTAAAAAGGATTATCATTTCGGTGCTTTCAGTCACAATCATGCTAAACGAGTATAATAGTGGACGTCACGAATTTTACAGTTTCTCAATTTGTCGTAGACAATCTGCCTAGAAAATGACGTTTTAACCTACGTTCAACTTTTAATTGCCCTTTATTCAGATTTTGAAACTAGGTTTGAGAATACTTTGACTATGGTAATACCACAGTAAATAATGAATTCATTTGGTCACATTGAAAAAAAATGGCAGACTACAAGAGGAACTGATAAGAATAGAGCCACTAATGAAGATCTTAAAGCAAAGTTTAGAAACGGATGTCAGAAATTATGGTTTTAAAAAGATATACCTGTATTATATATATGGAGCATCTTAAAAAAAGTTTTTAATTGCTTTTCCTAGAGAAAGGAGTTTCAGCATGGTTGTCAATCTCCAAAACAAAACTAACTCTCACTTTTACTATCAATACTCATTCATGTTTTTCTCCAGGTATCCCCTCAAATAGTATTTCAAAATTTTTGTTGTTGGAATTCCAAAGAATCTCGATGACATAAAATTTTATTCATATAAAACATGTTCAAAAATCCCAAAATTATTAATATCCTTTTGGAATTACTTAAGCCAACTTCTTTTCAGAAATATTTAATTCCTAAGTTCCTTTTTTTGTTATTGTTTGAAGAATGTAATTTGACTACTAATAAAAAATAAGTTTGATGCTTACTTATACTAATTTGCAATAAAATACACAGCTGTTCTCAAAATCATGTTATATAATTAAGTTTTTTTTAGTTTACTCCCCTCGTTAATTTACTTTGAGAGTTTTTACTAGATGGAAAATTGAAACTCGATTTTTCTTATTGATTGAGAAGTCTTTTGGCGTTTTATTTATTAATTTTGATTCAAGGTCAATGGCGACGGACCTCGTAAATTTGAATCATGGTCAAATATGGAAAATCTGTACAGTTAAATGAATTTATTTACTTCTCAGGTACGACCCATTAGATTGTCAGAACGTGAATAAACCAAATTTTCCAAATGGGAATCCTTAAACACATTATAATTTAACAAATTTTTATTGAAAATGAGATGAGAAAAATATTTCTCATTCCAGTAATTTCAATTTAAGCAGCGTTTTTCTCTGATATGAGTAAAAACAAATTTTAATAAGAAGGTGCCGTTATAATAAATGGATTACTAAAGTACAATAATCTCTTTAATAACTTAAATCACGGCAATTTTATCATTTTTATTTAGTTTTAAATTTTTAATTGGTCTTTCTAAAACTGTGCATGCAAGTACCAAAGTTTTTTTAAGTACACCCTATATATAAAAAAAAGAACATTTAAAGATTCACTTAAAAATGTAGATTGTTTTTTTTTTAAATTTTTTTTAGCAAAATGTGTTGTATTTGGCTGAAATATTTTCTTTTTCTTTATTTTAATTCCTACTCTCTATTGGTTCAGTCTCTCCCTATATATATATATCTTGTTCAAATTTTTAATCATTAACAAAATACTTTCTATTCATCCTTTTAAATTCAAATACATTTTTTAAAACTTGTAGTGGATGACACTGGAGGTTGATATTGTTTTTTCAAATATTTATTTATTAATTGAATTAAAAATGAATAAATTGTAGCAAACAAAAATAATAGTCCATCAGCATATATAGAAGGGAAAACCGTTCGTTGTTTCCCTGCAGCGCAATGGATAGCGCGTTGGTCGTCTAAATCAAAGAAGGTGGGTTCGAATCCCACCTGGGATGGTCTAACTTCTGAGAATGTGTTTACTTTTTTACTATACCATATTATTAGAATAATTCAATCTAATTAATATATAATTAGTAACGAACAAAAAAATGTAGTACCTTTGTAGTACCAACACCTTATGTAGAAGGGAAATTGGAAAATTGCAAGGAAAATCGCTTTCTATTTTGTCATTTAATATAGTGATTCTGTCATATGTATATACATATTTATACTATTTTATGACCATTTAATTAAAAGTAACTAAAATAAAATTTTTCTTTGTTGATCTAAGTATATAAGAATTGACTTAATTTTTTTATATATAACTTGTTAAAAAAATTAATGAGAATAGCGTAAATTTTATTTTATACAGATTTAAAACTTTTAAGCAATTATTGAGATTATGAAAAGTCTCACATATGTAGCCTCCTTTTACTTTAGCATTGCATATTGGTAACAAACAAACAAACAAATGAAAAAAAATCAATTTATAACCCTTTAAGACCCAGCTCGCTCGATCTGGCGGGTTCAACATTCTTATCTCCTTAAGATCCGAATTTTTTTTATCTTTGAATATTACATTCTTCTGTTTATTCACACTATTTTGACCCCAATGACACTAGAAAAAATTATAAAAATTTTTTTCCTATACCTTTGAAACATGGAGTGTTCCTGTACGAATTTGCGAGCTAAGGGATATGCATTGCTATGAATCTTCCCTGATTATCTAAATTTTTGTTTGTAAAAAATATATGCAAGCTAAAAATAGTTGAAAATTATTTTATTTCTATCTCATATAAAAATCCATCGTAAAAATAAAATGGAAGTATTTTCTATTGATGAGTGTTAATATTGGAAACGGCCACCAACCGCGCCCAATTAGCTAAAAAGGTTCACAGAAAATAGCTGGAAAAACACCCTTCGATATCGACTGTTACACTGGGGACACCCCTACCAATAGATTTGCAGAAAAGAACCAATACTTTCAAAATAAAAGAAACCATCGATTATGTTATTTCAATATGAATTTTTCATTTCAGTAATTGTTATTAGGTAAAAACCACCATGAAAATATCTCCTTGTTTTATCTCAAATGAATAGCGTTTTGTGAGTATGAGAGAAAAGTCTGACATTAAGTTATCCAGTGATTTAAAAAAAAAATTATCTTAATAACTGAAAAAGTTAAGTTATTAAACTCCGTCAAATGTGTTTATAGCTGTCAACGAATCAAAACGATTGAAAGAAATCAATATAAAAGTGAATAAACAAAAATAAATAATTTATATACTTGTGATTGCTATAATTCTTTTTCGATTCTCAAATTAATAATAATAATAATACTTTAATCACAGTAAAATAAATTCGGTACGGATTATACCTGTGGATGCGGCAGCCTAGTGGTCAAGGTAACGGACTCGTGGCCAGCGTGTCATGAGTTCAAGTCTAATACCGCTGAAGACCCGTCGTACTGGGAGGTGATGCACGTCAAATCTATCGAGGCTCAAACGTCCTCTCATTGGTGTGGTGGGGAAATAAGGAAAGGGAATGGGCAGCTTAGGTGTCTTCCTCGTTACTTGACTATGGTCAAGTAACGAGGATCCCTTTTGATTATAATTTTAAGTATATAATACGTAAAATTTAATTAAATATTTGTTTTTAATGATTAATTTTATTAATTAATACTAATTATTTATTCAGTAATTAGTTTTTTACTGTTTTTGTTCCCCAAAATCGACAAAATCAAAAGGAGCATGATACAAGAATGGTGGACTTTCGACCTTGAACCCCCCCCTTGGAAAACTTCTGTGTGCACTACTGACTATGGTTCAAAATCACGAGGTCCGTTGCCAAAAGCCCTCGAGTATAGCTAAACAGTGTGACTTTAATATTTACTCACTCACTCACTTTACGGATTATACAGCCAAGCAAAAAGACATCGCCAAATCAAAACTGTTGCCAAATGCTGTCGTTGTTATTATTGTTATGTTTGAATGGGTGCGAGAACGGCTTCCACTAATGGCTGTATATTGCGGCATTTGGCATTGTTTTTTGACTTGTCGGAATTGGTCGACGTTATAATACGTAAGTACCATAAATTCTTACCTTTGGTCTTTTTTGCAGAATATTTTGCATAAAGCTAGAACTGCTTGCGATATAAAGGAGAAGTTTTCTTTTCCTTTATTAATTAAAATTCAGTAACATTCTTTAAGTACTCCAGCTTTTGAAACTATTTGATGTTCTTTAAGCTGTTAACTTTGTGACATTAGTTAGTATAAGATATTAAGGTTTTATCAAGATTATTTTCGAGAGAAATATCAAGAGGTAATACTTAAGGTTAGACTTAAAGGTAAATGTCTATTGTGGGAAACTACATTCCTGTGAAATATATATTTTTGAAAAAACACATATATATCTAAGAGAATTTCTTCAAATGTTCTAACAGAGAATGTACCTTGAGTGAAGAGTATTTTCACGATTCGAGCTGATTTTTTTCTCTTGCTCATTTGCTTTAAAATGAAGGAAGTGGCAATAAAAGAAATATTTGAAATTATTAAACACAAGAGAAACAAAGCTATAAGAAAATGAAATAATAGTAAATTTATTAACGGAACTTAATTTTTATTTCATATTTTTGGAAATCCGTTGTCGCTTTTACTTTGAAAATTTTAGTTTATCTTTCTAATTATTACTCTCATTTCAATGAACTATCTGCAAAATTTTAAAACAAAAAAAAAAAGGAATAATTCAAATTGCTTAAAGTTTTAGTATTATTTTTACTATACTTGAAACAATATGGCCCTGAAACAAAAAGGTGAACAAGTTAATGAAAGTAATAGCAGTTTTACAATCTTATAAGGTGTTACAATTAAAATACATACATTGACATGATAAACTTAAAGATATTACTATGGGAGGAAAAACATATTATATAAAGCATAAAAGTAGATAGAAGATATCTGTTAATTAAATATCCTCCTAGGAAGGCAATTAATAATATTACGATCTTTTATATATTGAAGGGGGAAAATCCTAGCTATTTATTTAAAATCATCACACCACACCCATGTATTTTACTTTCTAATGAGTTTATTTTTAAAGTCCTGTAAGATACGTGCTTTTATCTGATTGGCCATGATTACAATGTTTAATATTGGGAAATAATTACTTAATAAATAAAAGATGTACTTTTTTACAAACATGAAGCAAAATAAAGGGACTACTTTATACTTACAGCGAAATCGTTTAACACCAGATTGAGAGGGACTGAAATATTTTTTCGTGTTAAAAGAATTTCGTGTTAAAGGATATTGGTCTCTTTGTCTGATGTCCACGCTTATATAAAGCATATGCCAGAGAAAACATGGAAAACCTTTTAAGCGCTCAATAATCTACTACGCATTGCTTACATTAAACTCTAACCTAAAATATAATTTTGTAATTTAAATTAAATGTATGTGTATTGTTTAAAATAAATAATTTGAATAATTTGATGTTTGATTAAGCACATACGCACACTCACATGAATAAAAGAAGGTACGGCCCTCATAAAACAAACGAATAATATTAATTTATAGTTACGTTCGTTTTAGAGGTGCTTGAGGACCTTTGGAGATCACTGCTCAAGAATAGCGCGAGAGCTTCTTGGTGACACTGTGTAACTTTCAATCAGCGATACTCAACTTGCCGCCCGCCGAGCTTTTTTAAGTGGCCCGGCCATGGCCCATTGCTCTGCGAAATTCATTTTCTTAAGAACATTGTATTAAAAATTTGGTGGGAAATTCTTTGTCAAAAAATCAAATATATCAATTTTACTGTCGGTGTCGTGTGGGGTTCGAATTGATACTCTTTTTCTATTTGGAATGGTTACGGTTAATGATAACAGACAACAGTGGAGTAGCGACAATTTTATGGATGGAACTAATTTTTTCATATCTTGCAAGCGAAAAATATTCGATCGTTTCAAGATGATTGGGAGGTTTACTATTTTGTAGGGAAAAACAAACATGGATCAGTAATTGTTTGATTTGTATTTAAAAAATATACCAACCAACAGGAATCCTTCAATGACACTTTTACTCGAAGATTTTTTTCCAAGAGGTGATATATAGGCTTTTTTGAATAATTTTTGCGATAACAACAAAGTGTTTTGTCACAGTGGTAACAAAGACATCCTATGAAGTTTGATATATTATTGGTAATCATATGAAGCCGTTTACTGAAGCAGAAATTGTTGGAGTAGTGTTTCTTAAATGCTCTTAATTTAGTGTTGGCGACAAAAATAAAAAATATTAATTAAAAAAAAGCAAAACAGGAGTTATAATATTTTGATCAATTTCCCACACTTAAAATTTCAAATGTTATCTTGATCTTAAAGCCCCCCCCCCTATTTATCCTCATATTGCGGCCCGTGTGCAATAGCTGACATATGTATTCGGAGCAGCAGAATAAAATGTTGAGTATCCCTGATTTAAGTCATAATCAAGGGACAAGTAATGCATATACATCTGAGCTAATGCCTTACTCTCCTAACGTTCCTTCCTTTCCTCGAGATGACTTTAAAATTCATTTCCATTTCAGGCGCAGCTATTATAACTACTCCTTTCTTCTTCAAAGTTTCTTGGGCGGACACAGAGCTCGAATAGGGAGCTAAGTTAGAATATTGAATGAGTTTGCAGCCATGACAACTTAGCAACTGTGTCCAACCGTTTGATCGAAATTATATGACTTCTGAAAAGTATGGCTACACTTTCAAAAATGAATTAAAAACAAACAAATATTTTTTCTTACAATATTTTTTGTACCATAATTTTTTTTTAAAAAAAATTCTGTTTATTGAAGTGCAAGCTATAGATGTTACAGTGTCCACGTTTTGCGACATTCTCGTTTCAAAATTGCTTCTCCACACGAACTGGCACAAGTTTTAGAAGGGTTTATCGAGAATTTAAATCTGTAACTCATATGCATCCTAAATGGGGAGCGCTTACATTGGAGTTTGGGAAGTGGTGGCTTAATATCA